AGGTGCCTTTTTTCATGAGCTGCCTGAAACCATGGCAGCCATCCTGAGGCTGAGGGAAGGAGCCTGAGAACAAAGACAATATGCAGAGGAGGAAGGAATAAAATGGAAAGAACCTGAGTCTTAATGACATTGCTGGGCCTCTTGTGAGTTAATAAACTTCTTACTGTTAAAGGTACTTTTAGTCAAGTCTTCCGTTACCAGTCTTCCAATTATAACAAAAATAGTGGCCAAAGACAGATGAGTAATATAGTGCACTTAATGCCCTGCCTGGCTATTATGTTTCATCTTTTGTAAATTTCCTTCCTGGAGCACTAGTATTCTTTCTCTTCTGATGAAATAACTTTGAGTTATTGATTCATCCAAATAGTAATGACTAATGCTATTAGACTCTCAGATGATGCCTGCAGGTAGAAAATGGAAGGTTCTGATGATCAGGGGGCATGTTATGATAGAACCCTTGGAAGAAAGTCCCAAGGGGTAGTTTGCATCCCTACCATGCACCCATTTCACAGATCTGATTGCAATATGTGGGCAGCAACTGCCTAAACCTCTCTTTATAAGGCACAGTGTACCATGGACTCTTAGAATTAGCAATGGAAAGATGAGAAGGGGCTTAAAGATCAATTTGCCCCAACCCATCACTTCAAAGATAAGGGAACAGATGTTGAAGTTAAATAATAATGCCCCACAAGTTAACACCATGAGCTGGACCCCAGCGTCAATACTAGTTTGTAACACATCACTAACCCTTAAAACACTATGATGTCTATCTAAATATGAAGGTTTCCTCAAGGCTGTTTTGTCAGGATATATACATAAAAAAATTCTCCATATCATAGAAAAGTCTGAAAATGACCTGAACAACCCAGGAGACTGAGGTTCTGGAGGGCAGGGAATGGGTGATACTCAGGCCTGCATTTCCCACGTCCAGTTTACACTGTAAGTATGCTGAGCACTCAAATGTGTGTGGAAGTGATCAAAGAGAACATGCAATGGAATGACTGAATTTTCAAAACAATTGCTACCTTTGGTTGCGCTCAACGTACAAAAAGTACTTAATCTCATAAATCACCTAATAAGATGAACATATCAGGTCAAGCCAGTTTTTCCTAAACCGTGAATCCTTTTCTGCCTCAGTTTGAACAACTGGAAATAGAGTATATCAAAAGGATCCTGGTAAGAACAACTTCCATAAAAACCTCCGGTGCTCTGACACAGAGGTGTTTCTGATACACATACTGAAGACGGCGTGTGATGGCAAGTAAGGGCACACACCAGCATCACCTAAGGCCCTTAGGAATTTTGGAGTATCTGAAGCAAATGTTTTAACCCCAGGATAGCAGCCCCTGTTCCAAGTTGACCATTGAATGTAAACCTAAATAAAACAAAAATTGGAAGATAAGTCTCCAAGGGAATCACACAGTCCACTTCCAAGCCTTGTGTGGACCGACAAAGGCTTTATAAGTTCCAGAAACAGGTAAGGCAGAAAATGTCTTTAACAAGTTGTGTAACTGTAAAATAAAAGGTACAGTATGACTTGATGAAAAATAACCAAGTAAGACAAAGGGTGCTCCAGGTACATGTCACTGAACAGAAACCCTGATTTGCAACATGTTAGAGAAGAGGCCTTCAGGGGCCTGCACTGAGCGCAAAGGAAATAACGTAGGAATCAACCGTGAGGCACGCTGCGGCTTTCCTCTCAAAGCTGACCTGGTGTCATACTGCAAATGCTGAAAACTGATAATATAGATTGACACAGTGCTTGAACTGCTTCTCACTAACCTCCAGAAAATGCCGCAGAGTCAGGCCTGGGCAGGACCCTGGGGGTTTACTCACAGGAGACCTGAGCCCATCTCTGACTCAGGGACAGCAGTCACAGGAGGGTGGGGTCTTGGTGCTGAAAACAGGGCGGGCAAATCCACTTACTGAACAGGGAGCCCTCCTCTCTCCTTCCTCTGCTCCATTCCCAAGCATGGAATCAGAGGATTTTTTTCTGGAGAAATCGACTAACCCAAGAGAAAAGACCTTAGCAACTGATACTTAGGGGTCCCCCAGTGAAAGCCAGCCAGCACTTTATACAAACAGTGAGGCCTACTACCCAGTAAGCTCTGTCTCTGCACATCGTGATCAGATCTGAGTGCCTTCAATACAAACAGATAACCAAGGATCGTTGGGCATTTGAGGATAGCTTTTAACGTGAAAGACAAAAATTATAAAAGAAAAAAGGGAATTTAAAAGAAACAGCAAAATCCAGTAACAGAAGGAAACATTTTTTAAAAATCATGAAACAGAAGAAAAAATGATATGCTCAGAGAGATAAGACAATGCATCCATGAAAAGTACGGGTTATCAGAACCAGAGAATAAGCAATGGCTCTTGAAAATTAATAAAAAGATAGCAGAAATTAAATATTTAATAAAAGTTGGAAGATAAAGTTACAGAAATTTTCTAGAAGAAACTGCAAAACAGAAAAAATTAAGAAAACAAAAGGACTGCTCTAGATGATCTAATTGCTAACAGGAATTTCCAAAGGGGAGGATAGAAAATGGAAGGAAATTTTCCAAAGAATAATGGAAGACAATACCCTAAAACTGAAGGGCAGAGTTTTCAGACTGAAAAGAGCCCACTGAGTAGCCAGTACAATGAACAAAAAAGGCCCACAATTTTATAAAATTTCAGAGCATGAGGGATAAAGAAGATTCTAAGAGAAGGGGAATAAAACTGGTCCCACCCGAAGGAGGAGGAATCAGAACTGTATCGACTTCTTAGCATTGGAAGCTACAAAGATCAGCAATGCCTCAATATGCTGTAGGAAAATGATTTCCAACCTGGAATCCTACCCAACCAGATGATCAGTCAAGCTTGAGGGTGGAGAATAAAAACAATTGTAGACCTGCTAAAAACAAATGTATTATCTTACAGTTTTGGAGGTCAAAAGTCTGAAATGTGATTCCCTGGGCTAAATCAAGGTGTCAGCAGGGCTGCATTACTTCTAGGGGCTCTAGGGAGAATCTGCTTCCTTGCTTTTTCCAGCTTATGGAAGCTGCCTGCATTCCATGGCTTGTGACCCCTTCCTTCATCTTCAAAGCCAGTAGAATAGCATCTTCAAATCTCTGGCTCTCACCCTCCTGCCTTCCTCTTATACGAACCTTTATGGGGCTTCCCTGGTGGCGCAGTGGTTGAGAGTCCACCTGCCGATGCAGGGGACGCGGGTTCGTGTGCCCCGGTCTGGGAAGACCCCACATGCCGCGGAGCGGCTGGGGCCGTGAGCCATGGCCACTGAGCCTGCGCGTCCGGAGCCTGTGCTCCGCAACGGGAGAGGCCACAGCAGTGAGAGGCCCGCGTACCGCAAAACAAAAACAAAAACAAAAACAAAAAAACCCTTATGATTACATTCGGCCCACATGGATAATCCAGTAACATCTCCCCATCTCAAGATCTGTAATCACAGCTGCAAAGTCCCTTTTGACAGGTAAGGTAACATATCCCATAGGTTCCAGGGATTAGGATATGGGCATCTTTTGGAGGTCATTATTCTGCCTACCATACGAAGCCTCAAAATTTTGTATCTGCTGTGCATCCTTTCTCAAGAAGATTAAGGAGGCCTCCCCAAACTCTGATGTCTGCCTCCTCAATTCAGTGAGACAGGTGAGCTGTTTCTGTTTTCCCCTCAGCACTGCAGCCTGGAAAATGCCTTGAAGAGTAAGCTGGGACGATCACAGGGCTCTCCTTATTTGTTTCCCTTCTCTTAGGAATCATGGTGCTGCACAACCTGTTTTCCAATGTCCAAAGTCCATTGTTTCTTTTTTTTTCCCTCCCAGTTTGTTTTCAACAGGAGAACAACGCCCATGGCACTTCAAGGACAGAAGAAAAAGTTTCCAAGGCTTCTTTAGGTATCATGCCTACCTGTAACTCTAACGCCTTTATTCACAACCCTATTCCCATTCACAATCCAAATTAGTGAACTGAGGTATACTACATAACCCGAGTGAGAGACGGTCGGAGAGACAAACAGAATGAGAGAGACGGACAGACAGATTAGGAACAAGTAAGGAGCCTGATGTTGTGAAAGACAATGCCTAGAAATCTAGGTTCTCGCCCCAATTCTGTTGCTAACTGGGTCTGTGCTTTTAGTAATTTAACATCGCAATGCCTCAGTTTCCTCACCACGTAGGACAACTGTGAACTAAGACTGTGGAATACTTCCACAAAACACTGTTAATCCTTTACTTCCTCTTAAATCCACCCGCCCCACTACACCCTCAATCCCGCCTCCTCAGGGCAAAGTTATAACTGGCCACATTCCTTCTAATGCTTTCTACCCCAGAAGACCAGAATTGGTACTAAGCTCTGGAATTTCTGCCATTTATAGTTACACCAGCATGGCCAAAACACAATATTAACCTCAATGCAAGATTCCATGCTAAATTCCAAATGAAAGTTATTTCTTCTCTGTACTTTCTACAAGAAGTAGAAACTAAAGCCTTTCCTTGTTCATCGAGCCTACTAATTATTCAGATAAGTGTTTACTTTCAATTTCTCCTAAAATTGAATTTTTTCAATTGAGAAATTGAGAAATCAATTTCTCCTAAAGAATTCATACAAAATAACTTTTCTGTTTTATGACCAACACCAAAATCAACGTTTTCCTGTGAATTCCATGGCTTATAGAACACCTCAGTATAGAATCTAGTTCACTAGCTTTATTTCTTTGAGCAACGAAGGAAGAAGTATTTACAGCTGACAAAGTACTTTCCTAATTTTGCTTGGGCCAATCTGTGAGTGGTGGTTTGGTGGAAACCTTTACTCAAGTCAGATTCTTCTCTACATACCTTCTTGTGGTCCTCCGAAACCAGCCCTTACGTTCCCCTCTGTTTCTCTTGCTCTCTCTCTTTCTGTCCGTTTCTCAGAGCTCAGTATTCTTTCCCGCACCCCACAATGTGACAGAGCACCAAACTGCAGAGCGTGGCATGGTGGGCAGAACTTCAATCAGCCATTACCTGGTGAGATCCAGAAGGTAGGCTCTTTACTAGACCCTCTGTGTCGGAGGGGGACTTCCGTGGAGCCTGCTTAACCGGTGACACATTCTCTGATGTATTGCAGCTGATGAGTTGGCAATTTGGAGAATGTAAAAAAAAAAAAAAAAAAATTAAAATAAATGGAAACAAAAAATATAGAAATGCAAGTGATGACAAAATGAAGTAGAAGATGTGTAAAAACAAAACTCAACAAAACAATGAGTATCAGAACAATCACTTATCTCGAAACTATTTTTTATCCCTGACACTAATTCTTCCAAGTCAGTGAAGCTACTCCAGGGGAGGTACAGAATCCAATGTGGTGCAATCTCTTTGCCCCAGTTTACAACAATGATATCTGCTGGATGGGATTCTGGCTACAATGTCCATTTATCCTTTTGCTTCTTTGGCTTTTTCCCCTACCATAAATCCTCCTTTGGGATACAGGTTTAAAGGAGCAAGCTATACCTTCTTGATAGCAATTCGCTTTTGTGATCATCAAAGGCAAACCTCTTCTGAATGTGCTTCCAAAATGACAGATACTGATCCAGGCTCATAGTCTTGGCTTATCTCCTTCCTTCCATTCCCTAGGTCCCCATAGTTTGTTTCCCCACCAATTCCGCAACCAAACCAAAGAAAATCCAGGAAGTCATGGATGATAAGAAACTGTGGAATGCCACATCACACGGCCTGAACTTTTTCAGGGGCGTCGGGGTCTTCAACAGCAAGCCCTATCTCATAAATAAACCAGGGAAAGTGAATGCCAGGAGGTAACTCCTTAGGGATTCCCTAATGGGATGTGTCTTCAGCAGAGCTTCAATCCCTTATGATGTACTTTTAAAAAATCTTAGGAGTGTGGAGAGAATCACATGTAAAGTGTCGTTACTAAGACCAAAGCATACAAAGCATTCTGCAAACTGTGCCTTCTCTGAACCGGGAGGCTATATGCCACAAACCAAAATGGTTTGAGTATTGTAAAACAAAGAGTCTAACTCAGTAATAATACAATTCAAGTATTAAAAAACTAAAACACACACACACACACACACACACACACAAAGGCATTTTACATGAAGAACATATATGTTCAGATGACCATAAAACCTGACAACCCAATTTCATTGGGATGGTACACTCAACATGTTTCTAACACAGACACATGACATATTTGTGGACAAACCATGATAGCTGTTGGGTTAGCTCAGAGCTGGCTAGTTAGTTGTCAACAAGGAAGATGGGCTGAATACATACACATGAATATTAACAGCAACGGCCAATGTGATTAGTTACCATGTGTCTAGTGGGAGTGGAAGAGGAGACCCAGCCCTGTTATAGTCCCAATGTGTCGTCTATGTCAGCTTTTCTTAAGTGGAAGATAGGCAGGATCTGATCCCGGCACACCAAGGTAGAAAAGGCAGGGGAGGGGGGAAAAAAAAACCAAAGTAAGAAGAATAGCAGCATTCACGATGCCATGCAGAATTCTAAGGCACACTTTTCTGTGCCTTTATTAACCCCAAAAGCGTGAACTACAGAGACTGGTGTGTCACCACCCTGGATTAGTTTCATGTCGAAAACCAATGCTTCGGTTACATTTCATCATAAACCACTCACCATGCAAGGGGGCAGGTACAGTCAGCAGAATAGAAACATTCCAAGCAAATGATATCTGAATTTGAACACTTAAACTCCTTAAAACACAGCACTCCTAAAAAGTAGAGCGGCAGAGCCCAAAGCGAGAGGTCCCCACCATCCACCAGCCAGGGAATCCAGGGCATGCAACCCTCAACCACAGTCCCTTCCGTGCACCGGGGACGCAGCTCGTGCTACACCAACTGAAACCCAGCCTCACTCTCAGTCTTACCACACGAGTTCTACCAAGCTTATACAGGCTAGCTTTCCAGCTGGAGTGGCAAAAAAGAGAGGGTCCTTCAATTAGACACACACCCTATGCTCAAACGTGTTCTCTTTGAGAAGCCGCAAGCAAAACGAAAGTCTACTTTTCTTTATTGCTGGTATATTTTGCTGTTCAACTCTTATTAACTCAGCTTGGATGAGTCCAGCCATGCATTCGAGAATGGTCAAAGCAATAAACCTCCTTACCAAACTACAAACAGGAAAAGCCCTGCATCATCACGTCAGGTGGGGGTCATTTATCAGCATACTCCTCTTATTATTATTATTATATTTACCTAACTGAAAAGAAGAACCTTATGAGATTATTACCTAGAGATCAAATTAAACTCATATTAGGTAAGTGATATCTGTGGCTTAATAATGCTAATTGCAGAGTGGATGATATTGAAACACAGAGCACAGACTACTGAGCGGTCCATTTCACCAAACCTAAGAAAGAAACTGAAACAGGGATTAGTGTCATAGTCTACGTTTAACAGCAGGCCACTGACTTCTGCTTGTCCGTGTCAGAACACCTTCCAAGAAGATGGCTCGACTCCGACAGGAAAGCTAACAGTAGCTAATTCTTCACAATTCTTTTCCCATAAAACATACAGAAGTGTTCATACACTCTGATTCCTTCCCTCCACCCTTCCCCCCAAAAGCAGAGCTTCTTACCCGGTGTAATCCCGTTTAGAGTTTTTCCTTCTATAGAGGACAGCCAGAATCATGGTGATGAGCAGAGTGAGACCTAGGACCACAGCAGTAACTATACCCACCACCACCCAAACTGGAAACGTGGGCAAAATCTCTAGAGAGAAAGAACAAAATAGGTTTAAGGTACATTGCGACAGAGAGAAGAAATGGAATTGTATTAAGTTAATAGACAAGTGTCTTCCTTTAGCAATTACCATACCCTATTTTATTATTCCAAATTATGAGATCCTAGTACCTAATTGATGACATAGGAACATTAGCTGATAAAGAATGAGCTTTAGAACTAAAAACATTTCTAGATACATAATCCCTCTCAATGCTCTAAAATCAAAGAAAAGCTGGGGATGTGAATTTACCTCAATCTATTCTCCAACAAAGCAAACTTTGTCTCGAAATCAGAGAGCAGAACCTGCATTTCCTGCTTATACTCCAAAAAAGGTAAAGAAATAGCTATACCGTTTCTGCCAATGTTAAAGCTTTTCTCCTGGAGAATACTGAAACAATATTAATCTCCTTCTTTCCCAATACTCACCCCATCCAACTACAGTGAATCTGGTCTTACTTCTAATTAACAGTGAAAAATTCATACTCCTTTAATCTGATCAATATGCTCCAGACAGCAGGTTTATAAATGGAGAAATCAGCCACTCCGGTTGGAATGAGTTCCCTGACCCCCAGGCATGTTCGGTAGAGCCACAGGTCGATGGAAACAGGGAGCATAACTGTATGGCAGAAATACCCCTTTCAAACACACCCTGAAATGTAACTCTTGTTCTCTAACTAAGCATGAGATAAAGGGGACTGCATTATTACTGCAAAAAGACTCAAGGAAGTACCTTTCTCTACAACATAAAGCCTAATGTGTCCTGGCTGGACAACAATGTCAGGTGGATTTTTGACATCACAGATGTAGGTGCCATTGTGTATAAACTGCATATTTTCTATGTTGATTGATGCATCTTTCTTGTCGAGGTCTCCAGCCCAGCTGATTCTGTCCTTAAATGGTGGATAATTCCCGGCATACACTTGCCCTTGGGAGTAGTGGAAAAACTGCAATTAGAAAAAAAGAACACATGAGCTATTCTCAAAGGCAGAAGTTCTAAACTCTGTTATAGGCATATATGCTGTGAAGGGATTTTTTAAAAAAAGACTTCATCCGAGGAGCTCCAATCAAGATGGCGGAGTAGAAGGATGTGAAAAAAAGACTTCATCCAGAAAGAAATGCCACATCATATTACAAATCTCAAGCTATAGAACCTAAGCCAGACAGGGATTTAGAAATCATGGAGTTCAACCCTGTTTCAGTTGGAGAAATAAATGTGTACATTCTCTCTAAACCTCTCAATAGCCCAGTGGTGTAGCAATTACCACCCATATTTTTATAATAAGGAAATGGAGACTCAAAGAAACCATCTGCCCAATGTCACAATGACAATAGGTGGTGGATCCAGAGTTAAAGTCAGGACCACCTGACTCTTCAAAGCCAATGCTCTGATGGACACCACAGTTGAGCCCAGTGAATCCAAAGGTTTCAGCCTTAACTCACAGAGCTTACCATTAAGATACGCAAAGTCATGAAGAAAAAGAAGCCTAAATATCACAGATCAGTTAATCTGATGGGTTACCCAGTCTTACTTATTGGTTTCCTACAGAAAAGTCATGGACACGTGAAAGGAACACAGCCCAGACAACCCAAAATGTTCTCGTCCGCCTTTGCAGGTTCAGCCTTTAGCCCCTTTCTCTTTCCACTCTCACTCTCTCCTCAGACCTGCTTTCAGCAAAGGAAACTCATTTCTCAAAGTAACTTTGTCAAACCCAGCCCCCTGGAAGTAAGGTCAGGCCTGGTGGGTGGGGATCTATCCTGATATGCGGCTTCAATCCAAGCACCTCTGCTAGAGGCTGGATGTCTGTTCATATTCACAGATGGGGCGATAGTGGGGTTGGGGAGGGTGGTGGAAATGAGCATTAGTCAACCACTGAGCTGCACTGGCAATCCAAACACAACATTTTCAGAACCTTTTGTGGAAGCTGAAAACCCCTGTGCAATCTCATCCATTCCTATGATTTAGTGGCCATCTATGTTTTGTTAACTCGCAAACCTCTCTCACGCATAGTGCTTCCTGGAGCTCTAGACCCCTAATCCAACTGCCTACTCATGCAGCTGCCTCCACCCTCCAAGTCTGCCACCTTCTCCTATCAACTCCATCTTCTACCTGTGCATCTCATCTTGACTGATGGCTACATGCCATAAATTTTGGAGTTATCGTTAATTCCTCTGTCTTCCTTCCCATCCAATTAATTTCCCAATCCTGGGACTTCCCTGGTGGTCCAGTGGTGAAGAATCCACCTTCCAATGCAGGGGATGCGGGTTCGATCCCTGGTCGGGGAACTAGCATCTCGCATGCTGCGGGGCAACTAAGCCCGCGCTCCACAACTACTGAGCTCATGTGCCTCAACTAGAGCCCGCATGCCGCAAACTACAGAGCACACACACCCTGGAGCCTGCACGCCACAACTAGAGAAGAGAAAACCCGCAGGCCACAACTAGAGAGAAGCCCGTGCACCACAACGAAAGATCCTGCATACCTCAGAGAAGATTCTGCATGCCGCAACTAAGACCTGACGCAGCCAAAAATAAATAAATAAATAATAAATCATTAAAGTAAAAGAAATCCCCAATCCTGTCAATTCCATCTCCTAAGTTTCTCTTTTCTGTTTAATTCCCACTGATAATACCTGATTTTCATGTCCTCCTCATCTTGGGCTATGACCTCTTAACTGGTCTCAAGCTCCTCTAATCCATCCTCCACAATGCCTAAATGATTATTGGGGAAAAAAAAATTAAAAACCATTTATCAAATATATACCCTGTGTTTAATATAATTAATGCTCGTTAGGAACTATGAAGGCTCTGAGGTTTTACTCTCCCTGCAAGTCTGCCACAGGTTCACAGATGCTGGCAGAAGACACAAGACTCCTGGGAAGTCTTTGTTCTCACGAAGAAGACTTGGAGACAAAAGACCCTATTGCTTACAAACAGCCAGCAGCATGTTTTTATCTGTGGCCCCTGCCCCTCAAGGCGCCCAGGGACGGTATGCAGGGGCTTGGGTGGATGCTGTGTGTGCAGAGGCTCAGTATCACAGCTGAGGAGCCCCAAGCTTAGGAAACCCAAATCTTTTATAATGGCCCCAAAGGGAGACATATTACTATCTTGGACAGTAAGCAAACCTGTCCTCTGCTCCAGAGGGAGATACCGTCTCTGCCTTCCAAAGCTAGGCACTGAACAAGAAACGTAGCCAGGGCCTCCGCTTGTAAGATGGGCAGAAATGTGAAATACCATGAAAAATAACACTCTGACACTCATAACCACGCTGCAAGGTGAGACTCACCTTGCCAGGTATTTGGCAAGTGAGGAAAGAGGCTCAGAAAACCTTAGTGACTTACTCAAGGTCACAGGTCTCGGAGACAGAATTCAAAGCTTAAACTATTTCCATTATTTAATGCCTCTCATGTCTGATCATATCTCGCCTGCCCCAAACCCTTCACCTCTCTTCTTTACCAGGAAATAAACTGTAAACTCTTAGCTTAGCAAACAAGTCCTTCTGTCATCTGGTCTCTGCTTTCCTTCCTACCTCATCTACAAATATCCTCTGAAGCAGCAACATAGCCCTACACTACCCTCTTTCCCACCTTTGGGTCTCCGCAAACCTCTCCCTCATCAGACTGGGTGCCCTCTGAAGGCAGGGTACAAGCTGTATTTCTCTCTGTGCTCCTCCACACTTAGCACATCACAGGAACTGTATATGTTTGCTGAACCCCACTGATTAATAATGCTTTGGTCAAACCAGTAAGAAAGAGAGAAATGAAACAGTAAAAAAACTCACACAAAAAGGGACTAGATCTCCTTATCAACCAACATTTATTATGTAAAAGCCACAGTGTTAAAACCATGAGGGACACCAAAGGTGTAAGATAGATCTCTACCCTCAAAATGCTTACATTCAAGATAAAGAAGAGAAAAACTGTCACAGCAAGGGACGTTCTCTCACAGGAGTGGCCCAGATAACACGGGCAGGGAGTTTTTAAGAAGAGCTGAAAAGATCAAAAGAGGTCTTATGGGGCTTCCCTGGTTGCGCAGTGGTTGAGAGTCCGCCTGCCGATGCAGGGGACGCGGGTTCGTGCCCCGGTCTGGGGGGATCCTACATGCCGCGGAGCGGCTGGGCCTGTGAGCCATGGCCGCTGAGCCTGCGCGTCCGGAGCCTGTGCTCCGCAATGGGAGAGGCCACAACAGTGAGAGGCCCGCGTACCCCAAAAAAAAAAAAAAAAAAAAAAAAAGAGGTCTTATGGAGGAATCACAATGTGAAGATGGGATACAACTTAAATGGCAAGAGTTCAGAAGTGGAAAAGCAAAGCATAGAGCACTTTTTACTAGACTGAAGGAGGTCACATGAGAGAACAGAAGTGGGGCTAGAACAGACAAGCACTGTTTGCAATGGGAAACTATGAGGATTCTGACTAGGGCAGTGGTGAGGTGAAAGAACTGTTTTAAGACAAGGCACCTGGTAGACCGTAGGACTGGGCTGAAAGATGGATAATTTGAAGTGGGGGAATAACCAAGGGGGTTGCCGCACAAGTCCTGGCACACGGTTTTTATCACTTAATGGAGAGCAGAGAAGCAGGAAGGCTGACAAAAAGCTAGATGCCAGAAACAAAGTAGGAAGAGCCAGCAAACATTCTTATTTCTCAGGGTGGGTGTGAGGAATAGAAGGGAAGAGGTAGTGGATGGGGAAGGAAGGACAAACACCCCCACACACAAAGCTCAAGATTAAAAAAAATAATCAGGTCCCTAGAAGAACATAAATACCCAAAAAGAACTAGCACAGAAGGGAAACAGAGGGGAGAAAAGATGAGCTCTGTTTTAGACATGTGGACCCTAATTCCATGGACCAGAAAACCCATATCTGGTATGTTGGGCTTGATTTTACTTCTGAAAATCTTAACCTCAAAGAGAGCGTCCTGCTCATCTTATTAACTATGCCCTGACATTTGGGAGGTAAAGGATCCTGTATCAGTGACTGAACATTCTGGAATGAACCATAATCAGATTGGTGTGTAAGTATAAATTGATTAGCTAAAAACATTAATCAGAAATACAGCATGTTTGGACTTCCCTGGTGGTGCAGTGGTTGAGAATCTGCCTGCCAGCGCAGGGGACACAGGTTCGAGCCCTGGTCCGGGAAGATCCCACATGCCACGGAGCAACTAAGCCCATGCGCCACAACTACTGGGCCTGCGCCCTAGAGCCCGTGAGCCACAACTACTGAGCCCATGTGCCACAACGACTGAAGCCCACGTGCCTAGAGCCCGTGCTCCACAAGAGAAGCCACCGCAATGAGAAACCCGTGCACCGCAACGAAGAGTAGCCCCCGCTCGCCGCAACTAGAGAAAGCCTGCGCGCAGCAACGAAAACCCCACACAGCCATAACTAACTAAATAAAAAGTGAGTGAGTAAATAAATAAATAAATAAATTTATTAAAAAAAAGAAATACAGCATGCTCTTAATATTAAGGCTTGGGGTATGTAAACCTGCTTTGACCCACTTGACAAGAATGTTTTGAGCATAAGTAAAACTGCTCTTTGAAGGAAAGAGCATCTGGGTGTCTTCCTGATGATGCTTTACTTTCTGTAGATAAAACAATGTCCCTCACTTCTAGTCTGGCGGAAGATGTCAGTGGGAAATCTTCACAAATTTAAATAATTCTTTGGACTCTCCTGGGTAAATCTGTGTGTTTAATTTTGCATCTATAGGATACATGTTCCACGTTGATGCCATATTTATGGGAAGCAAAAGAATGCCTCTGACTCTGCTTCCCCATGACATTTGTACGGGTTCCTGCTCTCACTCACTCTGGGACTGTTTTACCCAGAACCAAACCCAATTGGACCCAGTGAGGAAGTCATATAAATTTGTAATCTCTGACTTTACCTCACCTTTCCTTCCTATTCAGACACAACACCCAAGGGGGCTTCCTTTTTATAAATCCTGAGGGACACAGGTCCACTCAAACATTTGGAAATCAAGCATACATTCCCACCCAGTATACAGATAGATAGATAGGTAGATAGAGATATCAATATCAGTATCAATATAGATAAGAAGCTGCATTTAAGAGATGCTGAACTTATTTTTTTGGAGAGTCTGAAGCAAAAGAAGGGCCTTGAAGTCTCTGATAACAAACTCACTCATCTTGCAAGTGCGCAATCAGAAGGATGGATCGTTAATCACACTAGAGCAGTAAAGAACCCCGTGAGGTATGACCTGCAGAGAGCAGACAAGCATTCGTACCGACACAGTGGTGTCAGTCCCCTCTGGCTGGAAGCTCCAGGAGACTGAGGTCAACGTGCCGGTCGTGTTAGTAGACTTGAACTTGCACGTCAGCTTCCCTTGTGTCCCATTTGCCACGAAGATTTCTTTTGGTGTATACACCTCCAGGGCCGATACACCAGCAGTCACTGGAGAGAAAGGAACAAGGAAAGCTTAAGAGTAGGATTTAGCATGAATACCACTGTGCATATTTATCAGAGGACAAAGAAAAGATACAAGAACGTTACAAGATGTATACAGTAATCCATCACCACTGTGTACTATACATTTCTGGCAGAATATTATATAGCCAGGTACTTCCTACAAACTAAACCACTGAGAGTCTGGGATTTTTGCTTTCTAATAAGAAGACATTTTTACTGGTTCAGTTATACCTAATATTTATGTTTTCTTTTGAATTAATAGACTATTTTTCAGAGCAGTTTGAGGTTTGCAGAAAGTAGTGAGTTCCCACATATTCCCTCTCACTTCCCCCAAGCCCTAGTTTCCCCTATTATTAACATATTGCATTAGTGTAGCACTAACGTTGAGAATATTCTATATTTGGAATCACTCAGTAAATGTAGCCTTTTCAGATTGGCTTCTCTCACTTAGGAATATTAATTTAAGCTTCCTCCATGTCATTTTGTGGCATGAAAGCCCATTTCATTTTATTGCTGAATAATATCCTTTGTACGGATGTACTACAGTTTATCCCTTCATCTACTGAAGGACATCTCATCATGCTTCTCTGATGGTCTGTTTTTAATGATGTGGAGGCCATATTTTTACTTCTTTAAATAGTTCTCATATTCACCTGCTACGTTTCAATTTATATCAAGTTGATCTTGTCTCATCTTCCGTATATAAAACAATTAAAACTGCTTTAGGTAAGATACCACTTTATTTTAAAGCCATGTTTATTATTTAACTAACCCTTTTCCTATAAGGTATTTAAGGCAAAAATAACATATCTTGCTTTCATTAGTGAAATCTTACCTACCTCTGGATTTTAGTGCGCTAGATACATGTGTACTCAAGAAATAACTGACCACACTGGGTCACATATTCATTTACTCACTGAGTTTTTTCAGTTAGCCTAAGCCCAGGAAGCAGTAATTAAAATGTCTATTACTTGGCATATAAAAATAGCTCTTTTTCCGAGATCTATACTCAGAGGCAACTGCAAGAATTATTGAGGATTCCTGCTAAAATAAAATAATCTTCACGCAAAAAGAGACCCTTTCATGGACTAAAGCAGGTTAGAAAGAAACTTATTTGGCCTAAAAGTGGAAACAATTAGAGCTAATATAGAAGAGATTAAAAACACCCATTTTCAAAATAAGGTTTTTTTAAAGAAATAGGAGAGAATCCCTATCTGCAGTGTTCCAATTATTCTTAGAATGTAACAGACAAGCAGAATAAGGAAGGGTATTGTCACCCAGGACTGGCGGTCATATTCAGAATGTTTTCTTCCTGAGGTCTTAACTATGACTCCAGGCTAAGGAGAACAAGAGTACTCCCCCATTCCTCCCAACCATCTTCCAAATGTTTATCCTCACGACACAATGGGCACTTTTGGCCATTCTTCTAAATAAACTGATAGCCACACTGCATCAAGCAGATTTTTTTCTGCTAAAGAGGGTGGATTATTATTATAGGGAACAATGGATTATTCTTCGTGGTCCAAACCTCAAAACAAGCCCTTCTTTTAAACAAGGAGCAAACAAAATACAGTTCCTTGCTATTGTGGGTAGGCAGAAAAGCAGCCCCAGGGCACTTGAGTTCAAAATGAAGGACAAAGCATAAAACTGGACAATTTGACCAGTTTATTCCAGGAAGAAGCACTGGTTTGTAACCCTTATTTACTCTGTGTGATTTTGACTAGCTTTCTCCACTGGGATGAGCACTGCATGGAAAGCCACAGTCTTTAAAGTCAACAAATAAAGTTTCCCAAGGATTTTCTCAAACCAGATCCCTGCCACAAGGCCTGGCTGCAAGAACTGTTACCCTGAGATGTTATTTAATGATGCAACTAGGCCAAGTGCCCAAGTTTACAGTCGTAGAATTTTGACCAAAAAGACCAACCAAATGCCTAAATGGGCTTTTAGACAATCTGTTTAAGACAGACAATTTAATTATGCCAAAGCTGGTTAATAAACAAGTGGCTTTTAAAAACAACAACATACCATCACTCTTTGGCAAATTTGGACATGCAGCTCTTAGAGCCAGGAAAATGAATTCCAACTCCAGCCAATCAGCCAGTTGCAGAAAAATAACTCCATACATAGCTAGTTAACTTCCTCTTATCCCTGGCTCTTTCTCCCACTCCTGTCATAATTCTTGGAGCTTCCATTAGTCATAGGAAGAACCTTCCAAAACCCTGATCTCTTTGTTTATCTTATTGTCTCCAATGATCTTATCCTCAGGCCTATCCCAGCTGCTAATTCCCATAATCATACCCTAGCCCAGGGTTTCTCAACCCTGGCACTACTGACAATCGGGCCAGATTACTCTTTGCTGTGGGGCTTGCCTGTGTGTTACAGGATGTTTAGCAGCACCCCTGACCTCTACTAGGTGTCCGTAGCAGCTTTTCTCATTCCAGCTGTGACAACCAAAAGGGTCCTTAGACAATTGCGAATGTCCCCTCCTCAGGGGCAAACTGCTCCTGGTCAAAAACCGCTGCCTGAGACCCTATCATTAATACCTGTTCCCCCTCCACAATCTTAATTTTCAGGCTCTCTGCCCTCTGATTGACCACTTCTGACTTTCCAGAACATTTCCTCCAATACCCTGATTTTATCAATCCTTCAGCCACATTAGAACCCAGAATCCATCAGTCCTCCAATCCTTTTACTGTCTCATCCCCAGCATGTCTCCACTTGTCCCGCTCGGATTAGATCCACGGTGCAGCACAAGACTCATCCCCTGGCTGCACCGTCAGCTCCCCTGCCTCTCTCTCCCATCAGCGCATTCGCCCGGCCAGACCTCAACTCTGGTTAAGTCCACTTCTCTATCCATTCTGCATCTCTACCAGGGTGGCTGACCATAGCTGGAGAAAAGCACACAACCCCACTGACTGGTTTCACCTTAAATTCATGACCGCTAACTTCAAAGAGGACTCTTAACGGTGTCCAGCAATCCTCCCACATTTCCCTACTCCATCTAGGCTCCACTCTCCTAAATGAATATTTTATACTTTCCTCTCTAACCTCAACTATGGACCTCCCCCTGCTTCTCTCGCTCATATGATGACTGTGCTTCCTGTTTCCCTAAGAAAACAGAAGCAATCACAAGAGAACTTCTCTGTGTCCCCAACCACATCCTACCCTCACCTTCTGCATCTGTGCCCTGTCTTCCTATGTGGGAAATGTCTGCACTACTCTCCACTGTGCACTGGATCTCATCTGCTCTCACGCACCTAGGGACACTGATCCAGCAAGTCTCCCTTTTTCTCCTGAATATTTCATTCTCTACTGAGTTACTGCCATCAGCCATAGAATTATATACATTTATATCCCAACTTTAGGGGGAAAAAATCTTGACCCTGCATTGCCCCACAGCTAAGATCCCTTTGCCCTCCTCTAACTTGTAAATCTTGAAAGAATTGTCTCAACTCACTGTGCAGAGTCTCCCTCCTCCCACTATCTCCTGAAGAAACCCAATTCAGGCTTTCATCCCCAGTACTCCACTAAAACTGTTCTTGTTAAGGAATCCAACGACCTCCATGTGGCTAAACCAACAGTTAATTCTCAAATCTCATCTTACTGATCTGCGTGCATTTGATACAATTGATCACTCCCTCCTTTTTTTCCAGTTTGGCCTCTGAAACATCACCCCCTTTTGATTCTCTCCTCATCTCATTACCTGCTCCTTTTCTAGTCCCCCTGACCTCTACATGCTGGACAGTCCCAGATCATCCCTCTGACCTCTTATCCAGTCATTCTCTTGGTGACCTCATCTATATATCTATTTTGGCTGCACCATGCAGCATGCAGGATCCCAACCAGGGATGGAACCTGCACCCCCTGCAGTGAGAAACCAGAGTCCTAACCACTGGACCGCCAGGGAAGTTGGTAACCTCATCTAGTTTCAGGGCTTTAAATACCTCCTAAATGCCAATGACCCCTGTACACACACACACACACACATACACACACACACGTGTGCATACGTATTCAAACGTTTATCCAGCAATGTCACTTGGATCTATCTTAAATTTAACAATGTCAAGATTGAACCCCTGATTCCCACCTCCAAACCTGCCCTTCCATGGGCTTCTCCATTTCAGTAAAGGACAACTTCAGACTTCCAGTGGCTGAGGTCAGAGCTCTGGACAACTCCCTTTCTCACAACTTACCTCTAAGCCATCACAAAACATGTGTCTCTACAAAAAACACATATAGAAGTTGATCTCTCCATGCTCTTTCAGTGCTACCATCTTGGTTCAGGCCACCATCATCTTTCACTCATGTTATTTCCGTGACTTCCTAAGCTGGTTCTCTCTTCCACCTCATCCACTTAAGTGCAGCCAATCCACAGAGAGGCCAAAGAGATCTTGGTAAAATGCAAGTCAGATCTTATCACTCCTCTGCTCAAAACCCTCCAAGTTCCCCACATCAGCCAGGATCAGGTCTAGGTCCTCACAGTGACCCACAGAGCCTGATGTAAGCTAGCCCCCGGCCACCTCTCAGACTTCATCTCCTACGCTTCCTCCCTAAACATGCTGAGCAGCCACCCTGTCACCTTGTTGCTCCTCTGCCTGTGATGAGAGCCCCCAGGACAGAGAGTGCTCTGAACAAGGAGACAGGAAGTCATGAAGACATGAGAGCTGAGAGAAGGGCATTCAACCAAGAGAACTGCTGGGAGTCAGGTGCTCTGCACAGCTGATCTCAGGGAGTAGTTTCAGCAGAGACCTGTACTTAAAACTGCATGTGGTTACCATGCACATCATAGAAGCCCTAAGTGCTTACAGCAGTTTCTGATCAACTGCGATGAGCATGAACGCCAGCGAAGTTTCTCCTATGTGGGGAAAGAGAAGGAAAGCATAGTTCTCCCCCTCAGACTACATTCCATGCAGCCCAAGCCAGGGATGAATTCACTGGTTTCTTAAACAATTGGGAATGGTTTGCTTTGTCAGCCTTTTCTT